GTCTGATTATTTCCCACCATTGTGTGTTCAGGACCAGCTCTACCTTTTCAGGGGTTTACTCCATCCATCCATCCATCCATTTTCTGTAACCACTTATCCTGTTAATGGTTTCTGGGGGTTTGGAGTCTATCCTGGAGGCTACTGGCGCAAGACAGGGAACAACCCTGGGGGGATGGGACACCAACCCAATCGCAGAGCACATTCACACACCATTCACTCACACATATGGGAATTTGGTAACTCCAATTAACCTCAGCATGTTATTGGAGTGTGGGGGATAAGCCAAGTACCCAGAGGAAACCCCACAATGACATGTGTCATGTCCTGCTCATCCGATCCTCCTGTGTGCCACGCCCCCTCGGTACCTTGTGTGGAATCCCCGTGTGATCAGCTGTTCCGATTTGCTGTCATTAGGCCTGTGTATTTAAGTCTGTGTTTCAGTTTGTTTCCTCAGTCTGGTCTTTGGGGGCAGTGTGTGGCTCAGCGGGCTAAGCCTGTGTGCCTGTAATCAGATGGTTGCTGGTTCAAACTCAGCCTCAGATTATCTATGGGTCCTTAATCCACAGCTCCCTGGGTGCTGTTATGGGTGGTTACCCTTTGTGGACAACTTACTCTACAAAAAAGAGCTAGTTGAGGGAGGTATAAAGACAATTTCCCTAGGGGATCAGTAAAGTATCTACCTTTATTATTGTAATGTCATTCAACATTCTTGCACGTTTCCCTGTGTACGATCCTGAATAAACCCTGTGTTCCTTGACTTCCTGGATTCCAGCTTGTTTCCCCACTCCGTGCTCTATGTGTCATGATAACATGGGGAGAACATGCAAACTCTACATACATGGAACCATGGCAGAGATTCAACCTCTTGCCTCACACCTTATCCCAGAGGTCTTAGGCAACAGTGCTAACTACTGTGCCACCGTTCTGCCCCCATAAATTTTATGTCCTACTCATTTCTTTTGATGTATACAAGTGAGATATTGTGCCTCTACCATCTTCCCTAGGGGTCCCTCTTCTTCCTTAGGCTTATTTTTATACAAACCTCTTGAGAAAGCTCAAATTTCATGATTGTATAACATTCATGATCTTACACACAGTCTACTCACAAACCATTGCCACTTGGAAGCTGGAGTTTGGCTTGGAGCTCAGGGAGGGATGCTCTTGTAAGGCTATCAGCAGACTACTTACTACTAGAACACATGCTTGACTAAGCCTTCTATCATTCACAGTAGTGCAGAGAATGCACCTTTGCCTGAGATTTATCAAAATCTCAAGAACATGTGATCATTCAGCCTGTGATCTCACCTAAAGGATTATTAGGAACACCTGTTCAATTTCTCATTAATGCAATTATCTAATCAACAAATCACATGGCAGTTGCTTCAATGCATTTAGGGGTGTGGTCCTGGTCAAGACAATCTCCTGAACTCCAAACTGAATGTCAGAATGGGAAAGAAAGGTGATTTAAGCAATTTTGAGCGTGGCATGGTTGTTGGTGCCAGACGGGCCGGTCTGAGTATTTCACAATCTGCTCAGTTACTGGGATTTTCACGCACAACCATTTCTAGGGTTTACAAAGATGTGTGCAAAGGGAAATGGTGTGCAAAGGGAAAAACATCCAGTATGCGGCAGTCCTGTGGGCGAAAATGCCTTGTTGATGCTAGAGGTCAGAGGAGAATGGGCCGACTGATTCAAGCTGATAGAAGAGCAACTTTGACTGAAATAACCACTCGTTACAACCGAGCTATGCAGCAAAGCATTTGTGAAGCCACAACACGCACAACCTTGAGGCGGATGGGCTACAACAGCAGAAGACCCCACCGGGTACCATTCATCTCCACTACAAATAGGAAAAAGAGGCTACAATTTGCACGAGCTCACCAAAATTGGACAGTTGAAGACTGGAAAAATGTTGCCTGGTCTGATGAGTCTCGATTTCTGTTGAGACATTCAAATGGTAGAGTCAGAATTTGCCGTAAACAGAATGAGAACATGGATCCATCATGCCTTGTTACCACTGGTGGTGGTGGTGTAATGGTGTGGGGGATGTTTTCTTGGCACACTTTAGGCCCCTTAGTGCCAATTGAGCATCATTTAAATGCCACACCCTACCTGAGCATTGTTTCTGACCATGTCCATCCCTTTATGACCACCATGTACCCATCCTCTGATGGCTACTTCCAGCAGGATAATGCACCATGTCACAAAGCTTGAATAATTTCAAATTGGTTTCTTGAACATGACAATGAGTTCACTGTACTAAAATGGCCCCCACAGTCACCAGATCTCAACCCAATAGAGCATCTTTGGGATGTGGTGGAACGGGAGCTTCGTGTCCTGGATGTGCATCCCACAAATCTCCATCAACTGCAAGATGCTATCCTATCAATATGGGCTAACATTTCTAAAGAATGCTTTCAGCACCTTGTTGAATCAATGCCACGTAGAATTAAGGCAGTTCTGAAGGCGAAAGGGGGTCAAACACCGTATTAGTATGGTGTTCCTAATAATTCTTTCGGTGAGTGTATGTTCACCCTCTGCCCAAAATTTGTAGCATTATTGGAACTCTTTGTTTTCTGGGAGTCAGACTGGAGTCAATGCTCATTGATCACCATTTATAGTATTACAGCTGACCTGTTGTCTTTGTATTGCATGCAGGTTGATATTATTACATTTTTCTCACGTTTGGCACAATGCAGAATTTACAGTACAAACGGTCCTCTACTTACGAATAAGATACGTTCCTAATGGCCGTCCATAATTTTAAATGTTCGTAAGTCGTTATTCAAAATAATTTTAAGGGTATACGCAAATACAAAGAACTAGGATGCTGGAATTACGCATGTTACGCTGCTGCACGGTGGGAGTAGCGGCCATAAGTCATATTAGGCAGAATTTGGTGCGCAGAAACAAAAAACTTGGTGTTGCAGACAGGAAACGGGAGCCCAATTAACATAATTTGGACGTACAGTCCTCTTCGTTCGTATGTCTGAAAGTTCATAAGTTGAAAGTTCGTAATTAGAGGAGCATCTGTATTGGAAATTGCCACATTCTTCAAGGTTACTGCCATGGTTAAAAAGACCTCTTAGAGAGGTGGCTGATGGGTGTGTTAAGAAATGGCAACACTTTATTGCCTATATTGATGTGCTAAAAATTTTGGATTGAGCAATTCAGCCTGTAAGATATCATGGGCACACCTCCACCTGTCTACATGAGTGTCTGTCCATCAGTCTGCCTGTCAATCTAGCCATTCATCTGTCTGTTTGCCTCTCTGTCAGGCTGTCCATCTGCTTACCTGCCTGCCAGTCTGTCCTCAGTCTGCCTGTCCCCCTGTCCATCTGTCTGTCCATTTGCTGTCTGTCTGTTGACAGCCTGCCTGTTCGTCTGTTCATCTGTCTATCTGCCTGCCCATCCATCTGCCCACCTGCCTGTCTCCATCTGTATATCTGTCTATCCTAATTTATGTAATTTTTAGGATGGGGATTTCTGTGGTGGGAATGCAATTTTTGTGGCAAAAAATGTTTCTTGTTTCATTTGCTGTCTGTTCTTTCCAATAAAGAGGAGGAATGGAGCATTTAGTGCTTTTCTTTAACTAAGTGGTTAATCAGGAAATAATATGTTTCTATTTCCCCTTCAGTAGTCTCATCTTTTAAATATAAATGCATTAATTTAGTTAGAACTGTCACGCTTGCCAGGCAGGCGAGCCGGAAAGCAGGCAAATGGAGCCGTAAATAAGGACAGACGGGGTTTATTACTGACGGGATGGCTGACAGGCACAAACATCCACGAACAAACATACAGTAACAATACAATGACGGATCTGGGTAGACTGACTGAGACAAGGACTAAATGCAAAAGACAAGCTACTGGTAACGAGCCACAGGTGAGAACAATCAGGGAATCACACGAGGTAACGAGGTGGACATGGCACACATCGGGATCGAACGGAGCGGATCGTGACAAGAACAAACCTCAGTTTTGAAATGTTTCTGTGATAAATGCAGAATACTCTATATATGGAGTAAATATAGGAATTAAATGACAAGTCTTGAACTGGGCTATGAGCTCAATCTACTCTTTGCACCACTTTTTCTGGTGAGGGTCACAATGGACATATGTTGAGCAGATCAGGCTACACCTCCTAGTATTCTTGAAGCTGTCATCTTATAATGCATTATGTATCCTCATAATGCATTATAATGGTCGGTATAAGAATCAAGGATGGTTTGTACTACATTATGAAGATATTTGTACTGCATTTAAGATGAGAGCCTCATAAAGCTTTCATAATGCATAATAAACATAGACCACAGGACAATTATCCATATTGCCTCAGTCCATCTTGGGCCTAGAGATGACAGTTTCTTCTGTGCATGGTAGAGTTTTAACTTGCATTTATGGGTGCAACGACAAACTGTACACAGACAGTGGTGTTTGGAAGTGTTCCTGAGCTCATGTAGTGATTTCCAATATAGAATTGTCTCTGCAGTGCTGTCTGATGGCCCAATGATCACGACTATCCAATACAGATTTTCGCCCTTCTCCCTTGCATAAGGAGAATTCTCTGGATTTTCATAATCTTTTATTGATATTATTTACCACAGATGATGAAATCCCCAAATTTTACTTTGAGAAATGGCAATATTATCCTTAAATTGTTGCACTGCTTGCCCATGCAGCCTTTCACAGGATGGTGAACCCCTCCTCACCTTTACTTCTAAAAGACTATGCCTCTCTGAGAGGCTCCTTTTAATGTCCAATCATGTTACTGACCTGTTGTCAATTAGACTAATTAATTGTGTCAGTGATTCAAGAATGTCCACAGTCTTCATGTACCTTATGTCACATGATCGGTCTTGTCAGAGGTACCACTGAAGCTTAGTTTTACGGTATTTGTTCCAGGCATGAGAGGAATTTCTTTTTTTTTCGAGAAGAAGTATCCATGGTCTACAGAAAGTGCTCAATAATAACTGTGCCTGTGTTCTTGTTCTGAAATCCAGCTCGGGCCAGGAAGTGCAGAGGGCCAGCGTGGTCATGAACTTGCCCAATCTGGTGCGACAGAACCCTGCTGAGACATTCCGGAGGGTGGTACCCAAAGTCAGGGTGGGCTGAAGTACCATTGAGACCCGAGCATGCTGGGGCCCACTAGCAGTCCTGGTGATTTGAGCTATGTCTCACATGCAGGAAGTGCTCCATGTGGGTGGGATGGAGCTACAACTGGCTGCAGCCTCCTCATTTTTGACCATCCTGCAAGATGACATTGTCCTCATCCAGACGCATACACACTCCATTTTACAGATTGTCCTTCTCTACCTGGAACACCGGGATGCAGGTCAGTGTGTGTCTATTTTAGAGGTCTGAGGTGAAATGCAACCTTTTCATTATAATCAGTTTGTGTGGTTACAGGCGACATGCATGAGCCTCTGAAAGCTTTCAAATGAATTGCAGTGCACAAGACAGCAGGATATCCATATAAGAATTATTTACTATGTAACATAATTAGTATGTACAGTACTGTACTGTGCAAAAATTAAAGAAAATGTTTAACATCATTTATCTGGGTAGTAAGTGTATATTTGCTCAGAAAAAGCTCAACTTAACATTAGAACGTATGCAAATTAAAAGTAACACAATAAAAACTACCAATAATTCCTTATATTCTCCAAAAAGGTACTGATATCTTGGATGTCTAGATTAACACGCTTCAGTTCCCAAACCTCTCCTCTATGGCACCTCAGCCATTCCATGTATTCGTTACATTTGACCACAAGCTCAAGTAATTAGTGAATTTAATTAGTTAACTCAGTGAGGTATTTATTAGCCAGACGAGTGTACTAATGGTCAAGTCCAAAAATATTTTAAATGGGTGGTTACTGGAAATACTGAGGTGACTTTATGAGAGGTTAACCTGACACTTTGACAGACATAAAATCATAGTTTTAAACTGAAAGTTCATTTTAACACCATTTATTTGATCACTGTTAAGACTGACTTTTGCTCATGCAGTACTGTAGCATCCAGTTGTTCACTCCCTGGTGCCATTTGCATCCTGGAATAAGCTGCATTCTGACTGGAACCCAGTACCAGTGTTGGGAAGGTTAACTTCGAAATGTAATAGATTACAGATTACTAGTTACTAAAAAGATTATATTCAAATGTACCCCCTGTTCTTTGCAAGGAAGAGTAGAGGAATAAAGGAAAAAAACACTTATGTTATTCAGAACATACAGCTGGCATTTATTTAACTATAAAATCAACACAAACAGTTGTTTACTTTTCCCCTTTTTTAACCTTTGGTTATCTAGTCTCAGAATAACATAAATTATTCCAAAATCCAAAGAGATTTACATTCAGACCGCCTATTCAATTCTTCTGGAGGTTGTTTTTCTTTTCAGTTGTAAAATTCAATGTCTTTTCAATTCCGTTTGTCAAACCCATTACGGCGGATAAAATAACCAAAATAATAAAATAACTTTCAGCTCTGAGAAAATGATAAATAAATTAAATGAGACCAGTCTTCGTCTACCCGGGTAGTGTTCTGTCCCTTTTCTTTTACTGGAGTGTAATAACATGTCAATGTTCATCTGAACAAAGCGATGGGGATCAAATTCGTCCTCTGGTCTGATGAAAAGCTCCCCTACATGTCCGTTGTGTGCTATTCATCCGCTAGATGTCCTTCAGCAAATCTTTCTGACGAATAGTCTTATGTGGATTGTCAAGAACATAAACCTGCACAAGCAGGGCAACATTTAACAGAGGTGAACATTTCAGGTCCAGAAAGTAAAAAAATTCCCTTAGTTTCCTCTGGTGTAGGTTTACTTTATTCAATCAAGTTTAACTCTAATTAGTCACCTCAAAACAAAAATAGCAAAGCTAAACCTCATAAATTCTTAGCAAGAGAACATTTCCTCACTAGTTATAATCAAATACATTGCTCTGCTATTGTTAGCTACTGTAACTGGTGTGGCAAACACTCACCGGAGAATATGATAGTCATTAAATCTCTGTCAAAACACCAACCAGTTACTCCTTGCAACTCATTTAAATTGGATTCCGTTCAGAAAACTATTGAACTGTTCCTTTTTCAGTGTATATCCTTAAAAAGTTTTAAACATTTTTTCCTGTATCGTTACAAGCTGCATCGTTCCTTTCCCCGCTTTCTGTGTACAACCTTTCTTTCCCACCTCACCAGAAAACCGATAAGTAGGGTGGCCCAGACGGCTTAAGACAATGCAAAAGCCACAAATACAAAAACCACAACACCACTACAAATGCCAAAATGGAAGTGGACCACAATTCAAATGCAGCGGCCCATCTATATTATTTGTCCCGGTTTCTGGGGACAATTAATGCAGGAGGACAGGCGGGTTGCAGAGGGAGGCCCAATCCCAAACCGGTCCCTACATACTCCGCCTCACCACTCTGCCTTCGTTTGTGCGTTCCTGAGATCCGTCACCATGTTGAAGTGTGTCTCAAAGCAGCAAGGGCTAAGGAGGAGTGGTCGATTATGCCCTCCTGAAGCAAGTCAGCAACAATGGTGGCTCGCGCAATTCCACTACCACTTCCATATCCCACAATTCCTAGTGCACAGGAAATAGAACAGCGTGAAAAAAGGAAAAAAATACACAATGTCATGTTCTTGATAATGTAATAATTGGATTCTGTGAAATACACATAGAAAGTCTATGTTACATGTTATAATTCATTGCTGCAGAAAAAAAAGGAAAGCAGCTATTTGTAGCTGGTCAGTACAGCTAGATTTTATCGTGATCCGATTAAGAGAGATTTTGTGTACTTTACAAACTAGAAACCACGCGAAGAAACGTTCATACACAAACTCAATCAACATCGCACCAGCAATCACAATTTATGTTTCATATTTTCCTGTTTTTTTCCTCTACAGATCTGATCTGGTATTTGGTACAGAAGTAATGCGTATGTTTTATGCGTGTAAACTAAGTTAGCTATGGTAGAAATTGTACAATTGTCAATATGACACGTGTACATACCTCAAAATGCTCAGTAGCCGTCATCTTCTCGCATTAGATAAGCTTTGTGCTTTTTTAAATAACTGATATGTCATTAAAGAAAATACAATACAGCTTCTTGATGGATCCATTTTGTCAAATCACTACGTGATGCATTTCCTCTTTCCGGTAAAGAAGACCGTAAAAAGGCACTGCGAGGGCAAGTCTGTCTCAAATCTTCCTTGTGATAATTTCCTTCAGTTTAAGTGCATAGGGCATGTTGTGAGGGTGACTCGGTGGGAGTGTGACTCGAAATGAAGGCGGAGTGTCGAGGGTATAGTTTGGGATTGGGCCGGAGTTTTCTAAAAATTTTGAGTACCAAATGAATTGTTGCTATCCCTCTTTATGCGTTTTTTCTTCCATGTTTGATTTGAGCACAAAATTAGAAATTGAAAAATGAGTCATTATTCATTTTGTGCTCAAAAGAAAAAAAACAAAAAAAAAAAACAATAAGCACTCACTTTCCATTTTGGTTTTTTCATCTGACACAAGAGGCATAGCCCTCAGATGTGACTTGTGGAAAACATTACCTGCTGAAAACATTTTAGTTAAATCATGGTCCTGTTATATTAATGTGTTCCCCTGATATATAATACACTTTCATTAAAGGAACTTTCAAATGCTTTTTTTGGAACCAGAACCTTTTCCCGGAACCAGGGACTTTTGTCATGTTCACACCACAGAAACTCAGCCAGATTGCTGTTCCTTGTAGGCAGTTCCAGAACCAATTTTCAGTACTTACTCCAGATTAGGTACTTTTCCTTCAAACATGAACTACTGAGGAGTAATAAACTTTCTGATTGGTTGACCACAAGCACCGGCACTAACTAGGAAGTTACACAGAAGTGCAGGAAAAGAGATACAGTACAAGTAGCAAGAACAAATGGAATTATTTTTATACCTCAGCTGAATTTAATGCATTGATTAGTAATTTTTTTGCCATATTTCTGCATCGGAAAATTAGATCAATAACCAATCTACTGTAGCACTGACGGGGCGCATGTCCCAACATGTCCCACGTGCAATTGTAAATAGCCCTTATTGTATTGTTGTTGTTAATGTTAATGGTTGTATTTCCCTATTGTCGCGCGTGTGTTTGCCCGTGTCTTGTATGTACTAAAATAGCCAAATATGTGTCGCCTGTATATTTTGTGTATTTTTTTATGTTGCATGACTCTTTTTCAGTGGTGAGCAATGCATGGCTCGAGACACTGCTCTCAGCTATTGATGTCTTGCCGAAGGAGACGATCAGACAAGAGGTAGCTAAGCACACACATGTACAATGTGTGCACGTCTGTTTTTTTAGATACGCACACACACACGCACGCACATGTAGGGTAAACATATCCTTATGGGGACCGCTCATTCATTTCAATGGGAAAAATGCTAACGTTAACTATGACAACCTGAACCCCTACCCTGCCCTAACCATAACCATAAGTAACCTAACAAAATACAAGAGTTTTTGCATTTTTAGTTTTTTCATAGCAGTCACCGATTTTTATAAAATAGAGTTTTCCCTTATGGGTACCAGGAAACCGGTCCCCATAAGGGAAAAAAAACTGATATTTATCACGTTATGGGGACATTGTGTCCCCATAAGGATAGGTAAACCCGCTCGCACACACACACACACACACACAGAGCTTTGTATTTATATCTTTGGTGGGGACTGTTTATTCATTTCCATGGGCATAACCCTAATTCTAACTATGACAGCCTTAACCCCTACCCAGCACTATCCATAACCATAAGTAGCCAAACAAAATACAAGTCTTTTGACATTTTTAGTTTTTTGATTGCATTAACAGATTATTATAAAATTGAGCTTATTCCAAAAAACTGGTCCCCACAGCAAGAAAATAGCAGGTTTTTATAAGATTGTGGGGATGTTTGGTATACTATATACACTACCAGTCAAAGGTTTTTGCACCAAAGGTTCCTACCACTTTTCTGTTTATTTCATAAACTACATATTTTTCATTCTTGTTAAACATTGGAAAGCTGTTGAGTGAACAACTATAAATGAAAATATAAGTCAAATAAAGCAAGTTTCCTTTATAACATGGAAATAATATGCAAGAGTGCATGTCTGTCATCCTATTGTGTGGTGATGGCATAGTCAAATTCTAGCCTGTTGTTTAACTTTAAATGCACTAGTCAACTGTTTCATCCCATTGGCTGTCACTTAATAATTCATTAAATATCTAATGCTTGTCTAATGATCCACATTATAATTATATTAGGTAGGTTTTTGAATGTTAGTAGTGAGACAATTTGTGAGTCTAAAACATTGATTATGGGTGGCAGATGTCAGCTAACAACAAAGAAAGGACCAAGTAATTGTCACTGTGAGAGGCGAAGGCTATAGTTACAGAGCAATTGCCAAGAAATTGAAAATGCCTTTCCTCCCAGTTGCTTATACCATCAAGAAACACCAACAAACTGTATGTAATCTGGACAGGAAGAGGACTGGTACGCCTCGATCCACATCTAAGCCACAAGACAAGTTCATAAGAGTCACCAGTTTACGTAACAGAAGTGGACTAGTAATCAAAGCGCAGCTGAATGAATGCCATGGCACCAGCACGTCAACTTCAACTGTGCACAGAAGACTGACGGAGGCGGGGATAAATGGCTGTGTTTCAGCCAGAAAGTCACTTCTGAGGGTTCCTAACAAAAGGAAAAGGTTTGAATGGACCAAAGAACACAGAAACTGTTATGCAGAAGACTGGCGTAAGGTACTGAGGACAGGAATTGAAGTTTGAAATCTATGGTCCCTCAAGGTTGTGTTATGTGCATCCGCACCGAGGAGAGGATGCTGCCACAGTATGTAACTTCCATTGTTAAGCATGGAGGAGGCAGTGTGATGGTTTGGGATGCTTTGCTGGATCTATACCTGGAAATTGGCATAGTGACTGGAACTTTGAATCAGAAAGGCTACCATAGCATCCTGCAGTGACATGCCTCTCCATCAGGCAACACTCATTGGTCAGTCATTCTTTATTGCAACAGGTCAATGACCCTAAACATACCTCCAAATTGTGTCACAACTATTTGCAAAGGAAAGAAAAAGAAGGAAGGCTGAAGCTCATGGCCTGGCCACCACAGTCACCTGACCTGAACCCAATAGGGCTAGTTTGGGATGAACCGGATAGAAAGTTCAAGGCAAAGCAGCCAACTACTACATCACACATGTGGGCAAAGATCCAGGAGTGTTGGAAGGAGCTTAGAGAACAGGATTTAATGTCCCTTGTAGAAAGAATGCCTTGAATTAGCTCTGCTGTTATAACTGCTAGAGGAGGTTACTTTGATGAATCAAAGGCTTGACATTTTCTTGCTGATAAAGGTACTAAAAATGGTGAACACACTGTAAATATATTTGTTAGCAAAGAATACTGAGTGTATTTTTAGTAAATATTAAATGAGTAACTTGCAAATATAGAACATCTCATTCTGCAGAAAAACTTTTGGCTGGTAGTGTATATGACCAGACATATATAAATGCAAGCTGACATGGGTTCAGAAAAATAATTTTGTTTATTGTGATATACCAAGTAAGACATTGCTAGCAATTGGGAAATATTTATAAAATGTAATAGAGTAATGACGAGACTAAATGGCCAGAGGTCAAAATCCGTTTTCCATTTCCTAGGCTCAGTGTTCTTTCCCATTTTACTGACCCACAGATCTTGGGCCCACTGGTATCGAAGGCACAGCTCTCACAGACCCTGCCGGCCCGACTTGCCAGCTGCCGCATTCTGGGGAAGGTGGCTCTCAAGTTTGAGTCCCCACTGTGAGTGTGGCTGTGCCAAATCACTCAAGCCATGACCATCCTTTGCACCATATCCCCTTAGCACTGGGTTCTGCAATCACCACCCTGCACTAGGGCTGGTTAATTGATAAAATTTAAATTTCAGTTACGATTTGCCTGATTCTGGAATTGGTTTGTCTGGGTGAAGGGTAAAGAAGGAGCTACTGCCTATGGTCCTGTCTCTGTGCCAAGACATGGAGTTTGAGGTGCGATCCTGCATGTGCCGGCAGCTGGAGAGCATTGCCAGAGGAATTGGGTAAGAATCTCCTCTGGTCAGTCACTCAAGGTTTCCGCTGATTCTACTCGGCAGTCTGAAAATCTGCTTGAGCAATGTAGAAGAGGTGCTGAGCTGAAGCAGCGCGAATGGATTTGCTTTAATGGGCTGAAAATAGAAGTTCTGGAACATGGTCTCCTCCCCATGCTTTGTGCAACTTCAGGAATTAATTCTGGTGTTGTACATTCTCATCAGTCAACAGAATAAGATGTGTACCTCTCAGGGTCTGGCTTAGCATTCAGCTTGGAGGCTCCAGCATCCATGATCTAGCAGAATATTAGTGTGAATGCAAATGAGGGCATGACTATGACTATGTGTGTGTTTGTGTGACAAGGTCAGACCACAACACAAAGGAGAGGGGCCCAAGCATTACGATACAAGCAATAGGCATGTTTATTTGTAGAAGTGCACGGAGGGGGGGTGGGGGTGGTGCCTTCTGGAAAACCCAGAACATAACAACCAAAAAATCTCTAAACATGAAAATAAATAACCTACAAAGAAATACACCAGAAGGACATACAGATAACTGCAGTGTTTCCCTGTCAAAGCCAGGAGAAAATGAGATATCAGTAACAAATGGCAGCTATTCCCTACAAGCCCACCTCGCTTAAGAATCCAATAACGATTTACACTATTCACAAATGTATGTACAAACGTGCCATAAATCAACATCAGAAGCAAAGTAATCAAACAACCAGGGAGATCCTACAGTAGAAAAATTGGGGTAACAACCACAGCACATGTATAGCTTGAAGGAGAGAATCTAGACATGCTAAGGAGAAAGATGTAACTGTGTGTGTGGAGCCTGCATGCAATTCCCAAATCCCAGGTTCCATTGTCTTCCTAGGGTGGAGCCCACCAAGACGCTGGTGTTGCCAGAGCTCATGGAGCTGGCTCAGGATGAAGGAAGTATGGTGCGGCTGGCTGCTTTTGACACAATTGTCAGCCTCCTGGAGATGTTTGACAGTGGTGAGTGTGCCTAGCCTTCGCCACCTGTCTTGTAGCTCTGTATAGCCTCACTACCTGTTATCTCACTTGCTTTGCTGGGTGCGTTCCACTTCACTTCCTTTTATCTCACCTGCTCTGCTGAGTCTGTTTGGCTTCAGATCCTGTTATCTCACCAGCTCTGCAGAGCTGTTGAGTCTATTCAGCTTCAGCTTCTCACACCCTGCCTGGGCGAGCTTTACATTTCTGTTACTCAACCAGGCAAGTCCCAGTCACCGCTTTAAGACCATCCCACACAGCATGTTTCCTGTGTGCAATGCTGCTTGTTGGGAAGTGTCTCTGGCACCATCTCCACCTTCGATTGCAGAGGATCGGACTCGCATCATCTTTCCCCTGGTGAAGGCCTTCTGTGAGAAGTGCTTCCAGGCTGAGGAAGCTGCCCTGGCCTCCCTGTCATGCCAGTATGGAAGGCTCTGCCACGGCCTCTCAGGTGTGTCGTCTAAGGAGATATTGCTTCTTGCTGGTAGCATGAGTAGCAGAATTGTGACAGGCGTCAATAACTTCACAAATATGAAGTGAAAGATGCACCGCTGTCAGTGAGGTAAACACAGCCTAAGGCAGCCCTTGTACAATTACTGGTCATCCTCAATTCTACATCTGCTTCTTGTACTAAATAACCTCAGGGGGTTTGGGGGAGGGGCTTCAGCAGTATAATCCTCCCATCATGCAGATCTGTAATCTGGCCCACATGAAGCCAGTAGTTCAGGGCTGTTCTACCCACAATGCATCACAAACCAAACTGTTGAATCTTTACAAACTTCCTAAATAGATTTTTTTGTAGATGCATTTCAATGTCCAGTCTACAGTGCTGGTACCTGTCTCTAGAAGAGACCCGTGATCACAAATGTGCCAATTTTTCATAGGGAGCTTCACGGAGGAGCAGCACCTGTGGTTCCTGGAATTCTACAAGAAGCTGTGCATCGTGGGCCTCCAGCAGGAGAACGGAAACAGTGAGGCCCCCACTTACCCCCTGGAGTTGGAGAGCAAGTATGCGCTAGTGCGCAAGAACTGTGCCTACAACTTCCCAGTGAGTCCCCATTGCACTGCTGGGTGACACTGTGCACTATGTATCTGTGCATGTGCACCTGATAAGCAGAGAGAGAGGTCAGCGTGAGTATCTCCTTACATTCACATGTGGGAAAAATCTACCTGCTCAAAACGAAGGTCACAACCTTCATAAAATGAGGAGCATCTGTACATGACTGAGTGGTGGAGGAGTATTGCAGTGCCATCAGAATGTAAAGAACAGGTCACTGTCAAAACAGGATACATGTCATAGCTAATTTTAGAACATAGGACCTGCATTGTGTCTGTTGTCCTCTTTTAATTATGATAAGAATGGGTCAAACCACACTTCACACCAAAGTCTGCAAAGGCATTGCATGCAAGTACAAGTATGATGTGTAAGCGTGAGATGTGTGTGTATCAATGTGTGTGTTTCACACCTACCTATACCTAGACAAACATACCAGGAATTATTTAATCTGAAGTGTGTGACAAAGGCAAGACACTTGCACAGAAACTGGAACTTTGTATGAATTATTAGAATTCACTCAGAAGAAAAAGTCCTTGTATTTAACAAAGGATTGTAGCTAAAGCTAAAAACCCAGTATTGCCATTGTTCTCATCCCAATGTTCCTGCAATATTTTCAGTTTCTTTTAAATAAATTCTCTCATCACATAATCCCTTACTGATTCATTCTTATTTTTCCACATTACAATTTTAACCATGTAGACTTCCATAAAGTTCTACCACCAAGTTCACAGAATAAAGATAATTGCGTTTTCCAAACAGATCACACCAAAGTTTCCTTTGTCCATAATGCAAGCTCCCCTAGTGGACAGGAGGTACTTTCATTTCCATTGATAACTGCAACTTGTTTAATCCCTACTGCAGGCTGGAATGGCAAAAAAACTGTTACATTTGTGTCATTATTTTGGGGGAAATGGTATAGGTTGTAATGGATTGGGAATGAAAATGCTGCCTCTGTCGGAAAAAGTCACTAAGTAAAAATGGGCATAAAATAAGGTTCCTTTCATTACTGTATGCATGTTTATGGGCATTTGTGTGCATGCATACAGTATGTATTTTGAAACCGATATTACATTTTAAAGTTTCTGCACTCAGAGGAACCCAAAAACTTCCAAGCAGTTCCCCTAAAACAGGGGTGGCCAGTCTTATCCTCAAAGGTCTAGTGTGTATGCAGGTTGTTAGGATAACCTTTAGGTCAGCTGTTAAAATACAGGTGTGAGAACTCTTCAGCCAATTATTCCTCTAATTAGTAATCTAATTGGTGAATTGCAATGAAAATTTGCATACACAACAACCTTCTCTGGCTAAGATTAACCATCAACCGCTTTAAAGTGCTTGGGTGTTGTGGTGAGTCATATGATATTAGACATAGGCTATACTGCTCTTTACTGAGTACAGTTTCTTGTTTAATCTGGGTATGTTGTTTACCACCTGCAGGCCATGGTGGTGTATGTGCAGCCTAAGCACTTCCTGTCTGAGCTGTACCCCACGTTTTCCAGCCTGTGCCGTGATCCTGAGATCTCTGTGCGTCGCACGACTGCTGCCGGCTTCCATGAAGTAGGCCAGTTGTCGTGGCTCCTGAAACACACCAGATACTGTACCGGTAGAGTGACCAGATAATCCATGTGAGGGAGGACACTTTGAGGTACTTCAGGTTTTACAAACTGCTTTTAAACTGAAAGTGCATGGCTAAATAGTTAAGTTCTTCTTGTGCTTTTGTTGGTTCTATTTCCTTGAAAGACTCATCCAGCTGTTTCTCATTAACATTAGTGACACCTGTGTGATTATAGGAGACTGACCAATCAGCACACAGCAAGAAGTCAGTGNTCTCGTACTTTGATTGGTTACTTTCCTTGATTGAAAGACGCATCCAGCTGTTTCTCATTAACATCAATGACACATGCATGATTATAGGAGACGGCCAACTAGCAGACAGCAAGAACTCGTGCTTAAGTGAAATCCAGGTCCTCCTGACTGAAATGGTAACTTACAAATCTTGTTCTAGCTCAAAGTGTCCTCCCTGTCATGGATTATCTAGTCACCCCACATGCTGCTGATTGGGGGGGGGGTATCCCTGACATAAGTTCTTCCTTCATCTTACAGGTTGCCAAACTGTTAGGACCCAGTGTACACTGCATCCACAAAGACCTTGTGATACTGCTGCAGGATGACTCCCTGGAGGTTAGAGCCTAAGCACACTCCTGTTTAGATAGACAAACACTGGGCTGACTTGCGGATAAAGCCTGGAGATTCAGTTGTATCGCATAGTTAGGGTTAGGTTCTGTCTATTCATCCATCCAATAAACCTTTGGTAATTGTGCATTAAAATCTGTAAAAATGTGTAATGTTTACAGAAGCTTATTTGCACCTATAGCACGGCTTTGGCAAATACTATTTTCTATAGTCACGTAGGTTTTAGTTATTTTTGTGTAACTACACAGGTAGTTCTGGCAGCATAACAGTTCTGTATTGTGTGCTTTAATGTTTTATTAAACATGTTAATATAGAAACTTGTGTGACGTTTTACTTATAAATAAGCAGTAATTTTTATCAGAATAACTTTCTTTGGTTTCCAAAATGCAAGCGCCTCCCTGTTGAAGGTTTCTGTGGTAAGCCATGGTATAAGCGGGATAAACCACTTTGAGGTGTGTGGTTATATGAAAACAAACAACAACGACTTGGTGTAATGCGACATATGGTTTATGCTTTATTTAGAGAAGTGAGACTTGACTAAGCCAAACTTTTCTGCTCCTCTGTGTATGTAGGTCTGTTATTTTTGTCTAGCAAAAGAAGTATTAATGGTGTCTGTAACTCTACTTCTTGTAGGTATTAGATGCCCTCATGACCCACTTGCAGGAAACTCTGGAGCTGGCCACTTTGCGGGGAGAGGGCAGTGGGCCTGAGACCAAGGTATCCAGTGCGCTGTCACCTCCGAAACGGTGAACGCCCTCTGCTGGCCTATGGCCTTTACTGCCTCTTGGTCTCCCTGCGTGCCTCCAGGTGAGCATACCAGATCTGGTTCCAGCCCTGGCAGCTGCAGAGCAGAAGGCGGCCGCCTCACTGCGCTGGCGTGTCCATGAGAAGCTACTGCAGAGATACGCCTGCCTGCCCCGCATTGTCTCTGGGGACCAGATCTACTTTCGCTTCCTTCAGAGGATGTTCACCATTGTCACCACCAACGTGAGACCGCCATTGCAAGTTTCTCAGTCGACTTACCGGAATCAATCACCGAAACACAAACACTTTACAGGCAGTCCCCAAGTTACAAACAAGTTCTGTTTCCAAAGTCTGAATTTGTAGGTCATTTGGAATAATAATAATACTGTGCACAATACAGTAATAATAAAAGTAACTACATACTGTACTGTACCTCGAGCTGATGATCCGCTGAAGCTGTGTGTGTTTGTTAGTAGGAACCATTGTATTAAACCCAAATTTTTTATATTATAGGCTCTATGGTAGTCTGATTGTATGTACAAGTTTTCTGGACACTCATATCCCAGGGCCTGCCTGTATATACTGCTATCTTGCTATATGCTGTACATGGACATGCAGATGATGAAGGTTGGCTCAATGTTTATGTCTTGCTGCATCTCTCTTCAGAATGTGCTCCCAGTCCAGAAAGAAGCAGCTAGAACATTGTGCGTGTTCCTGCGGTACAACCGCAAACAAGAGCAACGGCAAGAGATCATAAGCAAAGTGGCTGAGCGTGAGTGAACAGACACACAGGCTTACATGCATGCTTGCAAATTCTGAGACGTTATATGAGCAAATTTCAGGATCTTTTATGATCATTAGCAGAAGGGTAACTCATAAAAGAGCATGCTTAGTAACACAGTTTAAAATTTAGGGATAAAAGCATCGACTAAATGCTAAAGGTAGCAATAGTAGTGAGGTCATAAGTAGCACTACTACTGTAAAGCAGCATTTTCAGCTGGTATACACACTGGAATATAAAATTTCAGAAATGTACTTGGTCCTGAACCAACAGGTTAAGAGCAATGTGATAATTGTTATTGGTAAAAGTATGTGTTATTAGTGGTGTGCCGTGGGATAATTACCTTATGAAAAGTGTGCTGGGGCAGAAAAAAAAGTTTGGGGAAACAATGCCATAATGATTCCTTAGCTTTTGTCACATTTGTCACAATAGAAATAGAAATATCTGGACAATAGCAGTGAGACTGTAATGCAGAGTGTGGGAAATTGCCTTCTGTCTTCCAGAACTTGCCCAAGGCAGAAGTTACTGGAATAGGCTGCGCTATTTGGATCTATGTGAAATAGCCATGGACCTCTTCTCTAAATCCTACTTTTGTAAATATTTCCTGGTACTGGCCCTGGAGTTGGTCAATGACCCTGTAGCCAATGTTAGGTATGGAATTTTGAAGTACAAATTTACAAGCAGTTCCCCCTTGGTGTTAAAATTACATTCAGTTTCATTTTGTAGTAACGGAACTGGCTTTGAGACGATGAGACTTATTTCTGTGGTGCTATAGATGAGTACAATGGAGTATAGTGAACTTTAACATCCACAGGTACAAACTGTGCCGCATGCTACCCAGGCTAAAGGAGTCTATCAGGCTGCCAGCAGATAAGCACTTGCTACAGCAGCTGGAGTTCTGCGTACGCAGACTGCTGTGCCGAGAGAAGGACCAGGATGTGGTGGCGAGCGTTCGCAAGGTGAGGTTCTCCCCAGAGAAGGTGCTCTCAGTGTCCATACCTTTAAACTACCAGCAGATGAGAAATTACCCCAGCAGGCCTGTGATGTCAAATTCTGATCAGTTGCAGTGATTTACATTCACTGTTCCATCATTGTGGTTGAACTGCTTCATAAAAAGGATTGCATTTTTTTCAGACTGTGCTGGAACTGGACAAACTAGACATCACCGAACCAGTAAGAAATGCCTTTGACTCCTCTGGGTTCACATTATCATTGTTCTTGGCATGAGTGACCTCTGATATCTCCCCTGTTTGCCAGTATCACAAGCGACATGAGCGAGACTTACTGGACCAGAAGAAAGAGACGGAGGAGGCCCTGTTGCTGGAGATGGTGAGAAATCCAGGGCTCTGCTCTGCTGCAAATTACATCATTTAAGGCATCAGTGTTAATGAATTATTTTATCTCTTTGCACGTTTAATTGCATTTTTGTTTATTTAATTAATTTCTTTGTTTGTTTGATATTCTTTTTTAGGGTGTTCTGTTTGTGTATGGTGTACCTTTTTTAATTTATTTGCCCCAACTATGTTTACTGTCTTGCCCCATGTCTTGCACTGTATGTTTGTCTCTCTTCCGTCACTCTTCCGTACCATGCTGCTATATGCACCAGAATTTCCCCCTGAGTCACTAATGTTTGTTTTGTCTTATAAAACTAGGTAGGACACATGATAGTCCTGTAGGTAGCATTATGAACATCTGCATGGCTTGGGGTTTGAGTCCTACCTCCGGCTCTGTGGACATTCCCTGAAAACGAAAGTAACGAAATAGACTAAGGATATCTCTGTCTCCTTGCAGTATTTTAATAATAAATCAATAATAAATCCTTAATTTGCCATTTGCACAAGTACATTATTCTCTTCTTCGACTCCGTCTTGCTTTCCATAGCTTGGAGGTCGCAGCACAGGGTCAGTCAATGCATAACGCCCCTGGAACTGGGGTTACCGGCCTTGCCACAGACATGTGACTATTGTGCCACGGCTGGGGCACGAACCCACTGAGCCACTCGCTACCCCCTTTGTTTCACTTGGATTTACAATGGGCCTTTTAAATGATTGGTACCATGTTGTTTCTCACACCTGGCACAGGAGCAGCTAGAAAGACATCAGAGTGAAGGGAGACTTGAAAGTGACAAGCATTTAGACAAAAAGCGTGAGTAATTTGACTCTTCACCACACCTTATGCTCAGTGGTCTGATTCTGATACCAGTTATGTGCTATGAATCTGGATCGGGAACATCCCAGGTTTGGTCAACTACAATTGTTAAGGGCAATGGACATTGGAATGTTGCTGTTTATTCTTCAGACTACTTAATTAATATTATTCTGGATTTCTATGAATTGTCAATATGAAATGACAAGCCCTGTCCAAGCCCTCTGTGATTATGTAAGAATAATGACCATGACAGCACTAACTTATCTTTTGGCCTGGGTACCTCTAAAGGCTTCGATATGAGGCTGATTGATCACGGTGATTTATTGTCCTCTCTTGGATCTGAAGGGAAAGAGACGAAGCGGACCAAACTGGCACGAAGCCGCTCACTCAGCAGCCACCCCTCTACATCCAAGATGACCACTTTGGAGAAACCTTCGTAAAGCTTTCCACTTCTGTCAAAACTGTAGCGCTCTAAAAATGGACATTTCTGTGTGAATACTTATAGCACCTGTGAAATATTAACCAGTAGCATATTGAATGTTTTTTAGCAAGAATTTGGATTTCATAAATAGTCCTGTAAACACGGCTCTTATCTCCCATTACTCCAGAAAGGGCAAGGAGCCAGGAACCTGCCCAGCACCAGTGAAGGGGCCCATTCCCCCCTCTTCAGGTTAGTATCCAGGACATTGTGTGACATATCTGTCAATGGGGAACTTGGGTTGAATGTAGCACATGCTTATAAGATAGTTCAGTTAAGGATGGTTCAGGTCGAGAAAGTAAAACTCCAGACCAGGCTTTGTTTCAACCAACCAGTTGAGTATAAAGAGTCACAGTCGCACAGTTCTCAACTTTCTCGACCTAAACTATCGACCTTTGTTTGAAGCATCTGAAACACTCTGAAAGAGCTTGAATCCCTCGTAGATTTAGGCTCCCTGAACCTGCATATAACTCCATTCTCTGCTTGTGCTGTAGTACTATTTTTTGTGTTTTTGTATAGCAGGGAAATGCAGTAGGCATAAAGCATCATTTTAATGTTTTACTGTGTACCATCTTATAAGCCTGTGGTGAGGATTCCAAAGTGAGTGTGGGAAAAGGGGCAGATCGCAGGGTCAAGAAACAGATCAGGAATGTGAGTCATAGAGGAAACGGGAAATAAAGAGCGAGTTATTGTGAAAGCCATAGACAGGCCCTTGTCACTCACAGATGACGGCCTCCGCTCTCACCACTTTGGCCATGCCCCCTCCTCCTCCATGCCAGTTCTGATCCGTAGCAACACCAGCAGCACTCTGGACCATCGGAGCAGCACGATCAAGGAGACCAGGAAGCTAACCATGTATGTGCAATGTTTACCAGCAACTATTGCAAGTATATCACAAAAGATGGATACTGCAGTCCTAAAATGTCTATGAATGATTGGTTTTGCTTTGGGTGATATAATTCTTAAAGACTGTTCAAAATCATTCCAGTAACAAAACTGCAAAAAAATAAAAATCTAAGCAATTTAAATTTCACAGGCCATTTTTTGTAGTGTAGTCAGTTTTTTAATGAAATTAGAATTTTTTCCTAAATATAAGAATTTTTAGCTGGCAAATAAGAATATTTGCTTATTTTCATTTTTTGCAGTGTAGACAAATCACTGAAAGCTAAAGACGACAGATAAAATGACTATAGAGCTCTGATTTACTGTATATTGGAGATGGTTTTGCCATAGTTCAGCTAGACTTTCACTGTCTGTTGTAAATTTGTCATTTGTATTAATGGATACTTATGTATGGTAATTTTTCAAGTAATACATGTAACAATAATAAATCTTTTAAAATGATATTTTTCATCCTTAAACGATTGTTATACATAGCAGAAATTCTTCGAAGCTTCACTTCAAACTCAAGAAATCAGTTTCGCTCCTGTCTTTTCATTGCAGGCAAAGAAAATCCAACTCTTTCGGGATGCAGTAAAGACGGAAATGCCAAGGAAGATTCTCCACCCCTGTCTCCATATTCTCGCATCCTATGACCTATGACCTGCTTTCTCTTCATAGTGACAGTCTGGCTCCACATATGGAGAAATCAGCATCCCTCTGATTTGATTCTCCGACTCTCAACCAACAGACTAGTAAACCAACATACTGAAAAAAACAATCCGTCCAGCTAGCTTAAGCATGTATTTTTCAACGCAGTCCTCAGGGACCCCAGACAGCCTGCATTTTTGCACCCTCTCAGCTCCCAACATACCTGTACTAGGTACTCGATGTACTTGATTGCTTGATGTGTTGCAAGCTGGGAGGGAGAAAAATGAGGACTGGGTTGAGATGAACTGGCTTAAAGGAATATCAGAATTTGTAGTTTGCCAGTGAGAATACACACACACCCTTTCCTGCCTTATTCCAAAAGTACTGCTATCATTTGTATAAAAAGAGAAAGAGATTAGAACAGTTGTACAGTATGTATTTAAGTTTATTTTTGTAACATAGCATGCATTGCTTTTCTTTTACAGATCTGGACAGATGTCATATGTATTTTTATGAACATAACAAGGTTAAAATCCCTTATTTTGAGCATCCCATTAAAAGTTCAACTACTGTAACACAAGTGATACATGCCCACTGAGTATGTAATTTAAACATAATGCAATTTACATATCGCTATACACCAGTGCAGGATTTCCCAATTCAGGTCCTGGAGGATCATACTGCAACAATTTAGCAGATTTTCCTGTTGAAATACACCTTATTTGGCTCAGCAACCAATTGCCAGGTTTAGTTGGTGTGTTACTGGCTTAGGTTCTTTTTGATCCTTTTTCGAAACCGTATAAGATAAGCAGTTATAGAAAATCTATACATACTGATATTGTAAATACTTATTTCAACATAACCCTATCCAGGATAAGTAGTTGGAATATTGATGATTATTCAGCAGTTTTAATGATAATGAACATGACTATCCTTTTGTATTTTATGAAAGACGTTAATCATTAAGTTTCCAAACATAAGTTATTTCTAAACAAAAACATAGCATAGGATTAGAAAGTGCATTACACAAAAACCAAGAAAGTGATTTTAAAATGTGACAAAGGGCTGAGGGGATCTGGGCAGGTTCCTATAGATCACTGGACCTGTCGCAGTGTCACTCCATCACATCAGCTCTTGGTAGGGTCGATCACTCGGCCCATGAACAGGATGCTGTTGGTGACCTCATGATAAACGAGGAAGAGGAAGGGCCGGTTCATTGTGAGGCGGGGGAGCATGGAGAATTCGCTGACGCTGGTTGCCGGGGAAGCAGTAACCGATGTTCCCTCCTCATCAGCCTTAATTACAGCCTTATGCAGTACCTGAAATTAAGATGATATTACTTTCCCGCACTTTCATTTTTTCCAAACAAAATTATATCTTCAAAATTCTTACAGAAAACAAAAATACGAAGATGCCAGAATTTGAATATGAATTTTTGTAAACTTTACCCTGGCTCTTCTCTGTTTGTCATTAATTAAGGGCTTCTTCCTTGCTTTATTGGACCTCCGTCCTACTTCTAGCAGCCTGTTACTAACTGTCCCAGCAGTGCACATCTCACCACTTAATGTTTCCCATTATTTTTGAAGGTCATTTGATGTCATCATCTGATTCATGAGGCACTGCTGGATAAATTGACGGTCATCTTTGGCATTAGAAAGTCTGTTCTACCCTCTACCTGGCTAGTTATTGGTCTTTGCCAGTGTTTCCTGTTTCACATTGTTCTCTGGAAGCATCCTGCCAGCAGAACCAGGATTATACCAGGAGTTAACAATGCAGATTCTTGAACAATATGGAGAAGTCTTTAAATTTTTTCCAGAGCTGTGTGTGTATATATGTACACACACAACACGTACATATGTATGTGTACATACGTGTGTGTTATCTATAATTATATTGTACATCTCTAGAGGAATGCTAGAGGTACTCTTTCACCTATTTATCGGGACTTGATGGATATTAGTTTTACGTGGGATTTGTCTCATTCTCAAACTTACCTAAAAAACTGGACCATAAACAAACACGGCACAATCTCAGGATATCATCTCAGTACAGTTACTGTACAAAAGCTTAGAATTTCACTGTAATGCAGCAAACATTTCCTCCTAAAACTATGCTAAGAAATGATCACTGTATTATCACTGGGATGTGGACCCTCCCACCTTCAGGTTTGATTCCCACCCATGGCTGTGTGTTAATGCGTGTGTGTGGGTGTGTGTGTGTGTGTGTATGAGGGGGGGTAACAAGTTAAAAAAAACATATAGTTGAACTGGTGTTTCTAAATTGTCTATAGTGCAAGAGTTTGAGCTTTGAAATGGAATAGGCTGCCTAAGAACTCTATGGTTTTGTATGGAATGTGTAAAACACATCACCTACACCAGTGCAAGTGTCTTTTGTCACCACAACTGTAGATGATTATGTGTGTTTAAAAATTTGAAGCTGACTGGTTTACTGTTGGTTACTTTCAGGAAAACAATTGGCAACTACAAAAGTCCTTGATCATCTCTGTTTATTTAAAGAAAGTGTAACTGTTAACTAGAAATGACAGGCTAGCCAATACAATCACATCCATTTTAATGTGATAACTTATGGTGTAACACGCTGAAACATTTTAAAAGTATCAGAACAAAATAAAAACTATTTTTTGTGTTGGTCTCTGTATTTTGACGGTCACTCTCTTGTCAAACACAAAGTGCTTCATATTGATGGTTCAACATCACTCCAAAGATCAAGCTACATTTTAAGATATCTTGCCATTTTCAGAATTGGCTCAGGGCTTCATAACCTACCCCTACTATGTGTGGTTCAGATCTCCTCCAGGCCAATTTTCCCCCCACAATTCAAAGACATGCAGTTAGGTTAGCTGGCATGTTTAATTTGACCACAGACTATGGCTGCACGTTTTTGTAATTATTACATCGTGGGGACCAGATTTCCCCACAATGTGACAAAAACCTATAACTTTGTATCTTGTGGGAAAAAAAATTTCAGGCCGCACAAGGGGAAACTCAGTTTTGTAAAAATCTGTAAATGCAACCAAAAAACTAAAAATTCCAAAAGTCTTGTATTTAGTTTGGTTTCTTAAGGTTAAGGTTAGGGCTGGGTAGGACTTAAGGCTGTCATAGTGGAGATTAGCGTTATGCTCATAGAAATGAATGGAGAGTCCCATAAAAATATATAAATGTGGACTGTGTGTGCGTGTGTGTGTCCTGCAGTGTACTGACATCCTGTCCACGGTGGATCACAACCTTGTGAAACGTTTCCTGGGACAAACTTCAGGTTCAGGGATTAGTGCTTGATAGATGTATGATGTTTCCTCTCATCCTGCATAAGCTGTGTGCGGTGGGATGAACTGCAGCCTCACACCCTCAGAGTCGCTGGTTCAAGTCCTACTTCAGGCTGTGTTTGTGATTTTTTTGGGAGGCCTTTGCCTTGGTGCCCTGTGCTACCTGAACAGGCTCAACATGACCCTGTACAGCTACAGGGAATGGATGGATAGATTAAGTAAGATGTATTGGTTCATAGGTAAACTGCTACCCATGGTATGGCTAATGATATGGCTAATGTTTATGTTTCTGGAATCTTCCTGCAGCGGCTTGTCTTACCAAAAAATGTTTCAAGACCGCTATGTACAAAACTTAATCCACTTAGAAATTGACTCTAACACTGTTAGACATCAAATCTGTTCAGTTCACAAGACTAATTTATATAGGAAAAACTGGCAGACTGGTTTAAACATAGCTTACATTTACAGCTATGTTACATAGCAGTAACGTAGCTGTAAATGTAATATAAAAAGACAATGAAGAGCAGGGGTTGGCAGCCTGATCCTGGAATGATGGTATCTAGCAGGTTTTATGTCCTACCTAATATAGTTACCATCTGCCAGAGTTCAGGAAGGTTTCATCAGAGACCAGGTAGGATAGAAAACCTGCTGGATATTGGCACTCCTGGATCAGGGCTGCTTACCCCTGATTTAGAGTCAGTGCTAAAACAGTCACATACTGTACCACCCTGCGACTTGCTTTGCTGACTGACCTCAGACACCTTCAGTTCTGCTGCTTTGCTGAACCCAGTGAGTTCGGCCCTGTTGTCAAAAACATTGTCGAAGCCAAGGTCAGGCAGCACCTTTGACATGGCGTAGGACTCCTCCAGCCTGATCCTCGGCAGCTGCACCTCTAACTTGCTGGAGAAGAGAAGAGGCAAAAGAAGCATGAAGCAGAAGTACATGGCAGACCTACAGAAAGCTACAGGCCTGAGTCCCAGGAAGAGCACATCTAATGAAGCTACAGGCCTGTGTCCCAGGAAGAGCACATCTAATAAAGCTACAGGCCTGTGTCCCAGGAAGAGCACATCTAATAAAGCTACAGCAGTATTTCTCAATCCAGTCCTCAGGGATCTCCAGATAGGCCACATTTAACACATTAATCAAGTGTTCTAATGAAATATTCCAGGTCTGGGGCCCTTCCACCAAAGAATAAGCCTTTAAGCTAATATATCTGCGCGAATTTGTGAGAAAAGGACATTTACATTTTCTTGAGCTGCTTGATCCAGCCAAGGAAGCGCTCATTGGTGAGCTCCTCATCGATGGAGGTGTAATCGACATCCTTGTCTGGCAGAAGAATGAGCATGGCGACCTTGGCCTGCAATGGCAACTTCAGGATGCCGACTTTAAGGCTTCCGTCATAGGCCAGGTAGTACCTGTCCACCCTAAACATCATCGGCACTTGCACAGTTTTGTACTTGTTCACAAAGAAGCGTTCTTCCTGCGTGAAGCTGCTGTTAAAGGGAAGCTCCCACTTAGCTGTGGAAACACAAACACTTTGGCTGGTCACCTGTTCCAAACTGTCCTATCAGTCAAACTAATGCACATACGGCAGCCCAATACAGGCAGCCCCAGGTTAAGAACATCTGATTTACGGATAACTCGTACTTATGAACGGACAGCCGGAAAGTCATTACATTAAAAATTTGAGTTAAATACAATGGTTTGTAATAATAAATACATGCATTAATTTGTGACGCTCCAGAAAACATTGTGTGGCTTCAGCCGTTCGTCAGTCAAAGGCACAGTATAGTACCCTATGTAGTTTTATTATTACTATATAACGATAATTATTATAATGTACTGTATTATTTTTCCAACTTACCTACAAATTATACTTATAGACAGACTTGGGGAACAGATCTTGTTCATAACCTGGGGTCTGCCTGTACACATATTTAAGTTAATGTTTAACTACATCATATTTTCATATAATATAGTATATAGTATAATACAGTATCTTAATGCAGTTATTTTCTATACCCCCTTATCCTATGCAGGGTTGTGGGAGTCTGGAGCCTGTGCCAGAAGCTATGGGCACAAGGCCGGGCACATCCCAAGACTGGGCACCAACCTATCGCAGCCCTACGGATAATTTGGTAACCTCAATTCACCTTAGCATGCTTTTGGACTGTGGGGAGAAACTGAAGAACCTAGAATAAACCCCACAACAACGTAGAGAGAAAATGGAAATTTTACATGCTGAACAATATTAGTATAATATTTAGTACCTACTCGCGTCCAAATATTCAAGCAAATCATATACTGTAGTACTCCATGGCATGCACATGATAACAGTGCCACATGAAAGCACGTCACCTTGAAAGAAGATGCTGCTGATGAGCATGAGCTGGGTCTTGGGGTCAATGTTTTCAGCTACAGATTTCACGTTGCCACCTGTCCGGCTCCTGATATAATCATTAATAGTGGTTGTGCTGGCCTGGACGTTTGAGAAATCCACTTTGTTGATATCTGCACCAAAGAACTTCTTAGCCTGGTCGCTAAAAGCTTTCTCCACCTCCAGCTGTTGTTGAACAAAGAAGGCCGTGGCCCGGTCTGGCTGAAGTGCCCCGTTCTGAGATAGGTTCTCCTGCAACCCCTGGAAGAGTTCTGGAATTCTTTCTGGTTGGTTGCTTTGCCTCAAGGTTGCCAATGACAGCCCCGCAAGGATCTGGTCACGTGTGACCCCTTGACTGCCCCATAACATTGTGGCTAGTGATGCTGAAATGCTCAAGGGTGAGAAGACTATGTTGTTGTCGCTGGTACTAGCTATCTTGCGGTAAAGATTAGTAGCAAATTCTGTGTTCCTGGCCACCAGTTCGAGGATGTCCTGACTTGTCTCCTGGGCTTGGCCAAATGAGACCAAGGCTACAGAGCACACCAGGAGGCAGAGAAGTTCTGTCTTCATCATGGTTTAATTGTTTTTATTAGTCCACCCTGCAAAAGCCACAGGAATCATTGAGAAATTAGAAACCCAAGACTAATTTTGAAGGGATACATTAATTTAGGCTAATAACTGACATAATAATAACGTTATTTATTTAGGAACTTGGTTGACACTTAACTTGCATGACACTTAAACATACTGCACATACTTACTGACTGTAATCTGTATTGATTTGCATTGTTTACACTTGTTTTATTCTTTTTTTCTTAATTTTTGTTCTATATGGTTTGTTCATGTATGTACCAATACAGCCAAGACAAATTCCTAGTACATGTAGGCAAACCTGGCCAGTAAAGTGTATTCTTATTCTGATTCTTTATTACTAATCTAACTTATTTAAATTCCTCAGGTGTCAATATGAAGATTTCTGCTATATAAGTTTACAATAAGGAAGTTCTAGAAAAATCATATTCTATTAGGATAACATTTATAAACATAGACATTACTGTGGCCTGCAGGCTCATCAATCCCAGTTCCACCACTTACACCACATGTTTGATATGTTCACCTTAAATATAGAGTTTTCCCCATGGGTCAAAATAATGCATCACAGAAATGAAACAGAAGTTTGGAAACCGTGTCTCCACTGTATACAATCAAGCTTTTTCACCTTTCATTAAGGTTTCTGTTACTCATAACAAAAAAAGAACCTTTAGGGCTCTAGAGTGCGACCAAGGGAGATACGGTCTCTAACTCGGTGACTCCAAAAAAACCCAAGAACTCATTCGATGAACAAATCAAACTTATGGTTTTCGGACACTCGGTCGGTGACTAAAACTAACGGTTTGCAAATCAATCCCAAGAGCCATTGTGGCGTTTACTGCGGAAATGTTGCTACACTGATGAATAGGGTAAAATAAATGCATCTATTGCCAATTTGAGACAGCAGTAAATTATTAAATTTATATAAATTTATATTATATATATATATATATATATATATATATATATATACATATATATACAGAATCATTAAAATAATGCACATTACATTTGGCGTTTATACAACTGTTTGAACACGTTTATTTGTGCTTATTGTATGTGACTGCTTACAGTATTATTACTGTACTTTGTCTTTTCATGTCATTTCAAGGGTCCAATTACTCGCACATGTCTTTTCCTGTATTAAAATAAAAGTGCAAATGTGTGATATTTCTCCAGCAAAATTGTTGAAAAGACTAGACTGAATGCAATCAACAATGTAAAAACAGACCATACATAAACAATTAATATGTCTTGTAATAACTATTTTATTCATGCTAATGTTATTATTATTATTATTATTATTATTATACCAGTGTAATAATACCCATGGTTCAGTCACTTATACTCGTGCACAATATGCTTGCAAATATTTTTTAAACAAATTATCACAAGTATAGGCCTATATTTCTATATTTTTCACAACAGTAAATTATTGCATTTCTATATCTTTCATCAAAAAACAAAGATATTTATTAACTTTGACGTTTACACAACAACATATGCAAGTTTACTCATGTTCATTTTATGTGTATGTGTGATTGTATTGGTAATATTGTAGTTGTTGTTAACTGTGCTGTAGTCCTTGATACTCATGCACATGAATTTAGCTTAAGTAAAGAAAATAAAAACTAAATATACACGCTTGTTTTTCAGCATCGACACCCTTAGTGCTTTTTATATATTGTTGTTTTTTTTTTTATTGTGAATAGTCAAGTTGAACATTTTTGTTGAACACCAGCGCCATCTTTCAGTCAAATAACATAACCTTCAGACACCGTTTGATTTATTATCTGATCCCATGTCATAGTCAGGCGCAAGAAAAAGACGGAAAAAAAAACAGTGAATCATAGAATCGATTTTAGATTCGATTCATTACAACAGACATTTTGAAAGAATCGAACCAGTAAATTGAGTCGAACTTCCCATCACTAGTTCAAACAACAGACACACATTAGGCTCATATCGTGGTCTAAACCAATCAGAGATACTGTAGGGCGTGGGCCCCCTCTGATTGGCCGTGGTCCAGAGTCTAGACCCGTCAGATAAACAGAGTGGATGTAGCTGCGGATGATGAGAGAAGATGAAAAGAACGATTGACAACTTTTTTGTAAAGAATGTTAAGGCCTGATCTGTCCGAAAATCATAACCAATGCTCTGATATCCTCCTGAGACCTGACCTATTCATTTATGTCCATTGTAGTGAACATTGTATTTTTGCATTTAGTTTTTCACTGATGTTAGGAAACATATTTATTCATGTTGTGCACTAAAGAGGACATGCTGCGAAATTAAAAATAAAAATCAATTTGAAAAAATTTAATTGTAAGATGTCTTATTTCCTCCAAAGACAAATAACCTACAATTGAAGGACACTTTTTTCCTTGGCTCTCAGGAGGATATGGCACGATCAACCTCCTAGGTTATGTCAAGCCCTGATCCAGAGACGACTACGAGCGAGAGCCCACTGAAATTAAAAGGGGGAAAGTTTATACATTTTGAAGAGAATGGCTTGACCAGTCTCCCTGGCTAAGATACAGTAAAGCTGATAATATAATGCACTGTATTTACTGAAAAAGCACAATGCATCTATAAAACAAATTACATGTTGCAATAAGTGTACTGCCGAAGTGTCCCCTCTCCCCGCTGCCTTTCGGCAGCAGGCAGCAGCAAACAGATCATCAGACGAGGCTGAGATGATAATCAAGTTTAATGTTGCCTAAAATATTGCAAAAGAAGAACTTCCATTCACTGAATTCAAGTCCGAAATAATTCTTCAGAAGAAAAATGGCTTGAACGTAAACCCGACGTACAGCAATGATCGCATGTGCCAAATTTATAGGAGTCATCGCAGATACATTGAAAAAAAAGACGTCTGTGCAAATTGCGAACAGTGCGTACATGGCATTCCTGATCGACGGAGACACAGATATCGCCACAAAGGAATGCGTCATTGTGTACGGTCGTATCTTACGGAAAGGAAGACCGGTGAACATATTGATTGGACACATTGAGGTTGAGCATGCCCAAGGTAAGCCATGTCGTGACATGTAATCTATGTCAATAATATGACTACTTTCTCATTACTGTATTAACCATATGTAATATTCTTATCATTGAAATTGTAAAAAATATATAATAAAATAAAAATTAATGCATGTGACTGCAATGGAGGATGGTCCATAAGACATTGAGCCATGCGATGTTCAGTTTGAAGCCCTTAAAACACTTGCACTTTTAATTTAGATTTTCTGTTTATTTCATTTATCTTGAGATGTTTTAAGTTTAAATTTCAGCTCAGTGAAGCACTTTAAGCACCAACACTTTTTCAGTAAGTTACCTTTCTTGTAGAATTTCTTGTAGAAAGAAAGAACTTTATGTCAACCAGATTGTTAATCATTTATAAGTCAATATTGCCTATATGGACAGCGATTTAATTTAAAAAAAAAGTGAACCTGTAAAACTGCGGTGTTAAATGCGATGCGGTCGAAAATTTGGTGCACCTAACTTTTGTACTGGTGCACCTAAGAAACCAGTACAACAAGTGCAAAAAATTAGTCTAGAGCACTGACCTTCTGTAAAAATAAAGGCGCCAAAAATGGCCAGTGCAGGCATCTTATCATTTCGTCTAGTAGATGAGGATAAATGCTCCCTCACTATTTAGAGATACAAAGTGCAAGTATACCTTACCATTATCCATTAACTCAGCTAAGTCTAGTGATGTCCTTGTTAAAGTTTCTGGAGCGGAGGGATGATGTTAAGGGATGAGCAGAACCAGAAAAGCAGCTGTGCGATTTAAGATGGTCTGACACATTATGTTTTGAAGTAATATAATTTCACCAAGAAGTCTGTTTTTTCCCAAGAGAACCAGATTTCCTCTTGGTATCTCAGCAAGCACTGAGCAACATCAAGTCCTTCAATTATTGATTTACTGAGATTCACAAAATAATAAAGCCCTAATCCCTGAAATGCATATCGAAATTTCAGAGTTTAATGACTTTTGAGATATGTATAAGCACATTTTTAATTGCTTGTGTTACACGTGCATTTTTCACAGAAAACTATATAGAACATTAATTCGATGAAGACACTAGTTTCCTAGTACAGCGGTCAAAAGAAGTTAAAATGGCAAATTTCTGTCCATGGCAGCGTGTGGCTCAGTGGGCTAAGCCTGTGTGTTTATAATCACAAGGTCGCCGGTTCAAACCCAGCCTCAGCATGTCTGTGGGTCCTTGAGCAAGGCCCTTAACCCCCAGCTCCCTGGGCACCCCAACAGGTGGCTGCCCTTCACAGACAGCTTGTTCTACAAAGAGCAAGTTGATGGAGGCGTAAAAAGAATTTCCCTGTCAAGTTCCAATTCAGCCTATCAAGTTCATTTGGGGAGAACTTAACTAATAGCTCAGAGTTGTTAAAATCTTATCTAGCTCTGATTTGTAGCTTCCGCTACAAGAGCAAGAAGACTATTTCAGAGCCGGCCCAAGGCATAAGAGAACTAAGCGGCTGCTTAGGGCCCCGTGGCCACCAGGGGACCCCCAAGAGTACATGAAATTACATCGTTTTTTTATTTTTATTTTTTTCATTTATATATGTTTAATATTTCAGTTGATAACATATTGGTAATGAAATCCATTATTCAATTTAAAAAAACACAATATTATTTTAACTGGCTGCTGCAGGATGCATGCACAGTTGGAGTATGACAGCCGTACGAGGCCTGAGGTAATTAGTTAACTTAAATTCATTGAAGAAGCAGCGTCACTGCAGCAAAACAATTAATAATGACACAAAAAAGGACATATCTTTCTGGTGCAGAGTAAAGAAAACGGAAGAAATCAGAGGAAGAGAAAAAACAGCAAGATAAAGGTAAGTTAAAAAAAATGAGTATAAACTAAACGAGTCTAAATTGCAAGCTAATGTTACTTCTTCCGCTTAAGCGATCACCAGCGGCAGCTAACAGCTCGTCAATTCATGCTCGTGCAAAAGAATGAGACGGACAAAAATTACCGATGCATAATAAAAAATAAGCTTTTGTTTTATAACTTTGGTACTGATAACAGTTTAACATTACTTACACTGGACTGGCCTACGTTTTGGGTCTGTGTTATTATATCATTATGTCTTAATGTTTTAGGTGTACAGATGGCTTGCTGCGGTGCCATATAGGTTGATGTTAAAATAACTGTTGTTTGTTGTTATTGTTGTTATCTCCGGATAGCCTGCACTCTCCCTGTGACTGTTGCATCTGCAGAGCGGAGCTTTTCAAAACTCAAACTGATCAAAAACTATTTGAGATCTTCCATGGCCCAAGAAAGACTGAGTGGACTTGCACTAATTCGTATTAATAACAAAATTGCCCATCAGATATCTTATAATGATATCATACACGACTTTGCCTCCAGAAAAGCAAGGAAACACAAATTCTGAGGAAAGTGGAATATTGAGATGGAATGTAGAGTTAGTTTGTCTTTTCATATAAAAATATCCTGTTTGTATTTGACTAATTTGTAGTTCTTTGGTATTTAGCTTTATATTTTATTATTTATTATATTATTTATTTTATTTGTAGTTGATTGTATTGCACTTTTTACATGTTGCAAAATTTTCTGACCAAAAGTAAAGTGGTTAACATTAGCCTTATATTTTATTATTTATTTTATTTGTGTTGATTGTATTGCACTTTTTACATGTTGCAAAAAAATAAATTAAAGTGGTTAAAGTGTTTACAGTAGGAGCATTGTCTACTAGTTTATTTTGCCACTTTTCAGTACACCACATTAAGTATGCCAACTGGAACTGCAAGACTTTGAATGTTAAAGTGCAAATTAACACCTGACTACTCCTGTGGGTTTGCTACTGTTACAATTAAAGATCATAGCAAGGGTAAAAACATTGGTAACACAGCTACAAAAAAATAAAATTTATATTGGGTGTGTTAGATTTATAGTGTGCAAATAATAAAGGATTGACAATAATTAGTCATATTGGTGGCACAGAGGGGCCCCCAAATAAAATTCTGCTTAGGGCCCCCTGAAGGCTTGGGCCGGCCCTGCCCTAACTACACACTGTGTAAAGAAGTGCTTCCTCAAATTTGTTTTAAAATGTTCTCTCACTAATTTCCACTTGTGGCCAAGAGTTCTAGTATTTAAACTAATACTGAAATAGCCATTTGGCTGAACAGCATCCAAACCTGTTAGAATCTTATATACCTGGATCATGCCCCCCCTTAATCTCCTTTGCTCGAGGCTGAACAAATTCAGCTCAGCTAACCTCTGCTCATAAGACATTCCTCTAAGACCAGGAATCATTCTTGTAGCCCTACATTGCACCCTTTCCAAGGCAGCAATGTCCTTCTTAAGGTATGGTGACCAAACCTGCACACAATATTCTAGGTGGGGTCTTACCAAGGAATTGTATAATTGTAGCATCACCTAAATAATAATCCTGACCTGTTAGAATCTTATAGACCTGGATCATGTCCCCCCTTATATTATATATATATAATGAATAACATAATTACTCAGTTTTGGGGTTCAGATTAATACTATATAAGCACTATATAGTTATATATATATAAATGCCGATTATTGTTGTTACACTTATTTTGCTATACTTCGTTGAATTTCAACATAACACTACTTATAACGAGACACAAATACTTAGTAACAACTCAATTACTCCTAAAGTACAAATTACGAACAAATCATGAACTAATATTGTCGCTGATTGAGATAATTAATGAATCGTGACGCATATTTTATGAATTAACATGAGATCAGCATGTAACTACGACTTAGTTTGTGGTGGATAAATAATAATAAATAATAGTACAAAGCTATACGTACATTATTTGTGCCCCGTCAAGGTGTTACGGTAGTTTTTTTTGTCAGAATGTGAGCACAGATATCCCAAAGACATGTATCTTAGGTAAGCCCCATCCACCATGTTCACTTTTGTACACTATATGGGACCTAGCCATTCAATGGCAGTAATATATAAAACGGGACACGCGTTGTTTACAAGTGCCTCATCCTCTCCAGAAACACCCCGCACAATGTCGGCCACTACTCAGCTTTCGGCAATGCGTCCACGGAAAACAAGGTCTGAATGATGAAATAATAAGAATAAATCGTAAATGACAAACTAGATTGTGTAGGGAGCTCAACACCACAAATACGCAGTTATTACCACTAAATGATAAACGCAGCATCTCTGAAAGCATATCTGACCACAACATACGACTAGCGATAGAACAACGCAGCTGATTTTCGGCAAAGACAAGCATACTGTTCCTTGAATAATAAATAAGGTTAAAACAAATGCATAAAAACTACATAAATGATATATATCTACCATACGTGATTTCTGAATTATGTTATTTCCAGGTTACTTACGTTTCCTTAGATCCGATGTCTGCGTACAAATATGACGATGCAATACGTGCAGCTGGCGGCGCTGGTTTCGCCAATCACAGAGCAGCTTGTGCACGACAGCGACGCAAGTATATTTTTAGTACATAAGTGCAGCCCATATATTATTTGGTTTTTATCTTATTTAATTTGATATTTTTATTATTTAATCTTATATTATTATTATTGTTCTTCTTCTTATTCTTCTTCTTGTTTTGTTGTTTTTGTCGTCGTGGATGTCGTCATAATTATCATTATTTATTTATTCGTTTGTTTATCTGTCTACTTATTTTTTGTGAGCCGTTTGACAAAAAACATTTGGTGAATCTATGTCTATATATCTATGTATGGCTTGCCAAGAGTATTTATGTAAAATGTCATTATTTTAAATAAAAGGGCAGTAAGAAGAGAATATATCTCTTAACAAAACAAACAAAATAAATGCACATTTGGCTATGTATGCATACATCCTGTATTGTATTTGCCTTTATATACTGATATATACTGGATATATACTGTAGTACTTAATATAAAAATACATGAATTCATCTTTATCATTTATACAATCAATATTTACTGAAAATTATAATTGTACCTTCCCACATAGCAATTAGCATGCTGGTTGTTTAATGTCTTTTTGAAATTATGTATGTCTGTGACTCTGTGTAATGATCTGTTTACTCAGTAGCTAAAATGTCATTTAGTGACAGGCAACCTGATTTCAAATATATATCATTTCCCTCTATTATTTAATACAAAATGATTTAACTGTATTTATACAGAAGATTCAAACTACGGTCATTGTTTTTTGACTGTCAGCTCAGATTCTCATCCTATAATCCAGCAGGACCATGTGACAGAAAAAGAAATCCAATTAGCATGTATTTTAGGATACCAATGGATCAAAGAGTCAGAGAGGATATTTTTGTTCAGGGGGTATTAAGTGCATGTAATACAGCTCCAGTACACCTATATCTTCTTTGCAAGAAGGATATCTAACAAGTTTTACCAGCATTATATATATGCCTAATAGAAGTATGGGACTGGCCTGGTCATGCAGTGGGTGGCACTATTGCCTAGGATTTTGTTTGTGTGTGTGTGTGTGTG